ATTCATTTTGACGCTTCACAAAATTCGCTTTGTGCGAGTCCTGTATTGTAAATTGTGCAAATCTGCATAAAGGCAAAGCAAACAGCAAAACCAAAGCGAGGCATGAGCAATCCGCAATACATTGCACAAATGTTGTACATGTCGGTTGGTTTTGCTCGAAATAAATTTGATCACAGCTGATTATTTGCACAGGGCAGCGAGGAGCAAGGAGCGAGGAGCGAGGAGCGAAAGCTGTTGACCCAATTCGAGAGACGAAGGACTCCGATAAATAAACGAACGCATTATTTTGATTAAGATGTCGATGCAACTGCAGGCTTTTTGATTAAATTTTAAATGATTTTTTTCCACTCGAAAGCAATTACATGAAATATGTATTTCGCGGATGCGGATGCACTTTAGGCAGCCTGCTCCGTCCCTTCTCGGCCCTGATTAATTACGGACGAATAAATTTCCAGTCTGCGGCGTGTGGAGGCGATAAAAATACTGAGCACTCTGCCCGCTATCCATCTTTGTTGTCTCCAATTTTGATTATTAATTACGCTGACACTTTGTGCCTACGCTAATGAGCACCGAAATAGAATTCATTCCATAATTCGACCCGAGTCTATATATGTATTAAATACTCCTCGCCCTGCTCGCCCTGCTCGGTAACTTTATTTTTCTTTCGGGTGCCCACACCCTAGCATGCACAATTTATGCAAATGATTCTGTGTGCGGTTGCCTTGAGGGCTGGGGGCTGAGATTGGGGCCGGGGCTGGGGCTTGATAGTTGGCTGAGAGCAAACATAACCTCGTTTTGCATCAGCCTTCTTGGCTAATATTGCACGTTAGCTGGCGCCCGCCACTGTTGTTGTCTTGCACACGTTGTATGAAAAATGATTATAAGTGGGTCACAGGATATGCAAATGTTTCTTTTTCACGCTCAGCTTAGTCCAGCACAGTTGCAGCTGTTGCCGCCACGGGGCGCTGCCAAGATGGATGGAGCCATTGGGAGGGGCTTCCCCGGGAGTGGGAGGCGGCGAGGCGAGGCCCTGTTGAGTTATATGCACCGCTGACTGCTTGGCAAAAAGACATTTTGCTCTGTGCAAATGCAACGGAAAGTTGCCAAAGAAAATGGCGAAAGTTTTTACACTCTCTTGTATTTTATATCCGTGTTCTTAAGTGGGCTGGGGAGGGGGGAGGGGGAAGTGTCCGGCCCCGCCAGCACCCTAAATCACGCAGCTGCCACCCAGAGGCAGACAATGCCGGCGGCTACCAGGGCTCAGAAGCTCCTGAGCACTAATAGACAGCTGAAGTTTGTATACAAGCCGCAAACAAAGCAAACCGACCCGGAGTTGCAATCATTTTACTTTCCAAAAAGTATTTGCAAACGGCTAGAGGGAACTTTAAAGTAGACCCAGAGCTCTGGAGCTCTGACTCTCTTTAAAGATCAATGAATCCTTGTCAAACTAGGAAATAATCTTAAAGTTTTTAAATGGAATACAGACTCTTAAATCTTTGACTCACGTTTTTATCCCAAACATCTTTGCTCATAATCGAAAGTATTTCTGAATACTTTCGTGATTGCCAAGGGAATAACCACTAACACAATTTAATGTTAATAAATATAAATGTTTATCCATCTTGTGCAGAATAATAGGTATAATACCCCACGGTAGTGACCTTTCCTGCTAAACACAACGGCCACTGTGACGTATATGTTTGTGCACAGCAAAATCTAATCAGAACGGCGCTTGTGGTGGTGGACATGTGTCCTCTAAACAGGATGAGGATGGGGACAAGGATGTGTTTGTTTTGTCCTGCTGATGCTCTCGGCCATTTGCTCTTTCCTCGTTTGCTTTCACTCGCCTGCCCCCCGACCTCATATTGCTCCGGGACGAGGGCTCCCACAGTGAAACTTTATTTCATTTCTGTCCCCTGTCCCCTGCCCCTGGAACGGACCCGACCCCTCGTCCCTCTGCCAGAAGAAAGTTTAAAATGTGTCAGTGTATTTTGCAGTATCCCTGAATGCTCGGAGCATGGCAGTTCGTTAAGTTATATGTTTTGGACACCGAAATTGAAATGTCATTAGCATATTTCTGGGTCAGTTCTTCATGTGGATAGACATCAGCTTTGTACTTGCTCGAGTGAGTACTGACCTTGGGCATAAGATACAGTTTAAACTTTAAAGGTTAAGGCTAAACTAGGCGGTATGAAGGCAAACATAATCTCTTAAGCTTTCAATGCTTTTCCAATAAAAAATCCTTTAGGACATAAAAGCATTTTACATTACAAAGTTGGCAGCTGCTTTGGCCAAACTTCAGAACTCGACCACGGCACTCTGATGACCTATCCACAATCCGCAACCCCAATCCCAACTCACCCACTTTTCTTGCTACTTCTCTCAGCTTTTTCAGCTTTCCCTGCTCTTAGCAGAGCATTTTCCGAGTTTTCCTCTATTTCTTTTTTGTGTTGCTTAGTTTGGCAAAAACACGCAGCGACCATTTTTCATATTTTAATTTATAAATTTATTATAAAGCCAACAGCACAGCGGCGGGGGGGCACCAGGAGGGGAGTGGGTAAGCCAACTCCTTTCCTGGAAGCCCGTTCGGGTGGGCTTAATAGCCGGCTCTCAACTGAGGAGCTCGATGTTCTGCGGTTTAGACCCGGCTACTTTGGCATTTATTTTAAATTATAGTTGGTAGTAATAACTAAAACGCAGAGCTCTGCCAGGCGGCGAGGAGGGTAACAGCTCTCGGTTGCCATGTACACAAAAATTATAGACATTTTCGGTGTGGAACTAGTCGTTGGGAGAAGAAGGCGTTGCCCGGGCCAGAGAAAGCGCATTTTTGATATGACATGAGCTGGGCAAAAAGTTTGGTTTCTAATTAAATTTACTGCAAAACGAATGTAAATTCAACAGCTCCCGCCTGTTCGGCATAATTATGGAAATTCCATTTCAGGGCGGAGCCTCCTAGAGCAATCCAAGTGACAAGTGAGCACACATTTTTCGGTTGCACTAATTGAAAATTCCTGAACAGCCAAAGACTTTGAGCGCATAACTGGCAAGTTTGTCAAACACTCCAAGCAGTCGGCTTCCCTTAAATTAAACTAAGCAATTCCATAAAATCCCAATTGAACCAGCAGCTCCTTCACCTTGCACAGAAATACATGTTTTGGGTTAATGAAATATTATTAGGGGAAAGGGGAAAGGCCAGCTCCCAGCCACAATCCAAAAGCAATCATATGTCCATCAAGGAAAAACCTTTGTTTTTGTTTTTTATGTTTTTGGGGTCCGCCGAAAATAGAGAACGGAACTGAGGGCAAGTGGAAAAGCGTAATCGAGAAGCAAAGTGAAAATGAAGCCTTTACCGCGAAGACCCCCAACAAGCGAAACAAACAAAAATTACAATGCTTAATTATGAAAAGTGTTTTTCTCCCATTTTCTAGCCACGACCCGGGCTCGGGCTCGGTCTCAGGCCCGGGGGCGGGAGCCAGAGATGTGGCGCACATGGAAAACATGGGTTAATGAGCGAGAATTATAATGAAGTATTCTTCGGGGCGAACAACCCTTGCGGCTCCGCTCCACGCATGTGGGTCAGTTAGCGGGTGGGGTCGGTATCCCAGGGGGGCTCTTCGAGGGGTGGTTCTAATGGGGCTAATCAAATATTTGACATTTACTTTGGTGGGCCAGCGTTTTCTTCATTAAAGTTGAAGTGTTGCCAGACTTTTGCAAACATTCCGTCACCATGACCGAACTTAAGGACAGTTGATTCGTTGATTCGAACTCTTTAATTTCCTAAAAATTAAGTTGAGCTTTATGATAATTTTAAATATATTTTAACTAAGTTTTATCCAAGGATCTCTTCCACCAATCACAACTTTTAATCTGAATTCAATTGCAGATGAGAAGTTAGTACTTTGCCTGCATGAATTGTTTTGGTTATATAACGTATTATAGTATATGTGGCATGTATATTTATAAACAGGACTTTGGTGCAGCGACGACAGGAACGATGAATGGCCGGCAGACTGTGAAACCGAACAACTGACCGGCAAAGAAGCGAAGTGAACTACGCACCACAGACCCGATAAATATTTATTTCCAGGAGTGCGTGCGTGCGGGTGCGAGTGTTCGTTAAGAATTTGCAGGGCAGACACACACATACGATTAAATGCGTATGAAAATGTGCACACGCCCCGCAGGACCACGCCCTCCGCCTTCGTCACGCACATGAATGCCATTAGTTTCGTTGTCTCGTTGGGAGGATTCGTGAGGGAAGGGTTTTAAGCGGCAGATAATCGAATGAATTAAGGGTATGCGCCAAATGAATTATAGATTTATTCGTGATGATAAATCGGGCAAGGACTGGGGTTCTTTACGAAGGACATTCGTCATCGCAGACAAAACGGCTGATAAACTGAATCAGAATGGTTTATTTAATTTCATTTACATTCATTTTTTACTTATAAATATATAACTAGTCGGTACAAATAAATATTTTAAAAATTAAATTATACGAATTTAACTAATCCTTTGGTCAGTTGAGTCAAACTTAGTGAAAAATTTAACTTATCAATTTTGGGTTTTTATATATATTTAGGAATTATTTTAATTGTTATAAATTCAGTTATAAAGTTCAGACAGTAATTGTTTACAAATATTGTAAACTTTTGTGGCATTATCACAGTTCTTAAAAAAATCCAACAAATGTACAAAATTGTCGTCTCGAATGACCAGGGTTTTTTTTTCAAGTGTGGACCTCTATCTTTTTTCGGTAGGTCAGATTAACAGAACGTTTAGTGCGATAAGGAACCCGCTATCTATACGTGTTTGCTGAAAAGTTCTATGAAATAAACGAAATTTGTTGCGAAATGGGCTATCGCAACCTAGCACAACAAACTCAAACAATAATTCCTGCTTATCAGAGAATACTGTATTGTCATTGGGAGTCAGCGTCTAAACCAATCGAATATAAAGCGCTGCCTGCCAGCAGTCTTTAGCATTCTGCAGTAATCACTCGGTCATAATGGCAACGAATCGGTTTTTGTTCCTGGCAGTAGCCATCGTCGCGCTTATCGGTGGCACACAAAGTGCAAACATTCTGGGACTCTTCCCGAGCCTCAGTACCTCGCATTTGATCATTCAAATGTCCGCGGCTAAGGTGCTGGCGGAGAGGGGACACAATGTGACGGTGGTCACGGTCCTGAAGCCAGTGGTTACCCACAAGAGCATTAACGAGATCATAGTGCCCCTCACTAAGGAAGAGGCGCAGCAAATGAGCGACACCATCAAGGAGATGTCCAGGAGCGACAACAGCAACATGGTGCTGTCCATGTTACGTATGTCGGGACAGATGGACTTCATGTTCAAGAAGATGGCGGAGGCTCTAAAGGACGACCGAGTGCGGGATCTGTACCTTAATAAGGGCAATAAGTTCGACTTGGTTCTGTCGGGCTACTTCATGAACGACTTTCAACTTGGATTCGCCAGGAAGGTGAATGCGCCCGTCATCATTGTGGCCACAATGCCCCCGAATCAGATGTTGAATCCATTTATCGGTAATCCCCTGGAGCTCTCTTATGTGCCTTCTATGGATGATTCTGTAGAGAAAGGAAAGGGTATGTCCTTCCGTCAGCGTATGAGCACTCTTGTCGCCAGTCTATCCTTCAGAGTACTTACGCACATTTTTGATAGAAATAATAGAAATTTGTACAAGTAAGTAATCCTTCAGAAGTGGAAATCTCCTAACTCTTAAGTAATACCGATTATTTTCCGTAGGGAGCTCTTTGCCGATGACCCCAACATGCCCGAACTCTCGGAAATGGTTAAAAATACATCAATGGTGTTCTTCGCCTCCCACGCGCTCAGTGAGGGGCCGATCCGACCTAACGTCCCGGCAGCCATTGAGATTGGAGGCATCCAGGTTAAGGACAAGCCAGATCCCCTTCCGCAAAATATGGCTGACTTCCTCGGCAACGCCACGGACGGAGCCATTCTCCTAAGTCTGGGCTCCAATGTAAAGGGCAGTCACATCAGACCTGACACGGTGACCAAGATGTTCAACGTCCTCTCGAAACTGAAGCAAAGGGTCATTTGGAAATGGGAAGACCTGGAGAAGACACCGGGGCAGTCTGACAACATCCTTTACTCCAAGTGGCTGCCGCAGGACGACATCCTCGCCCACCCGAAGATCAAACTGTTCATCAATCATGCCGGAAAGGGAGGCATTACAGAGGCCCAGTACCACGGCAAGCCGATGCTCTCCTTGCCCGTGTTTGGTGACCAGCCCGGAAATGCGGAGGGCATGGTCAAGAAGGGCTTTGGACTCACTCAGAGTCTCCTCACACTGGAGGAGCAGCCTTTCCAAGAGGCCATCCAGGAGATTTTGACGAATCCGAAGTACGCACAGAAGGTGGCCACCTTCTCTTCCCTCTATCGCGATCGTCCCATGTCCTCAAGGGAGTTGGTCGTCTACTGGTCGGAGTACGTCATTCGGCATCATGGAGCTGCCCACCTGCAGAGTCCCCTGGTTCACATGAACTTCATAGCCGCCAACAACTTGGATTTATATGCCTTGATCGCTGTTATACTTGTTATCGTCCTACTACTTTTCAAAGCGGTAGTTAAATATCTTTACAAAAGGTTTGTGTCAAAGTCCAAGAAGGCCAGTAAGCAGAAGCAGCACTAGAAGTCGTATAGTATTTAGTAAAACAACTATGTCATGTATGGCAAATACTCGTTAATTAAATAAGGAAAATAAAATAAATTGTATTTATTTATACGCAACAATTTTACTTTATTAATTTATTAAATCAAGTTATTAAGAGACTAAGCCGGCATTATTGCCATTGGCTGGATTGGTTTGTAAGTATCAGATTCGGCTTTGCCAGTTTATTTAATAATTATATTATTTAAGAGAAAATGTGGTTTAATTAGGGCTTTAGGCTTATTTAATCAATTGTCGAATGAACTGTTTGTGAGCGATTTAGTTGATCTTCTTTGACTAGCCGGTCTCACTTCTTTTTTCTGTTTTTATTGTCTGAGGCTGAAAAATAAAGTGCAAAGAAAAGCTTATTTAATTCTTCTAGCATTGAGTCATAAAAACGTTTTCGGTGAATATTGTGTGCGAATCGTATTGATGTTATTATCATATCATATATTTTAGATTGGTAGATAGCCTCAATCAATGCCTTTAACAGATAGGTCTTATCTCAATTTCAAAAAACGTTTTAATAGTGAACCTTATCGCTTAGAATACAGATTTCTTCCATATTATTAAGTTTTTTCTACAGAAATTCAAAGCCACAGCTTTAAAAACTTGTTTCATAAGAGTTGTTTCGGTGTTAGAAAGCCTACATTTTTGTAAAAACTTGTTATACTTGCAATCTATAAATATGTTGCCCGAAAACTTAAGAGCTCATGCTGTAAAAGCCTTTGATATCTAAACTGAGACAATAAATATTTTTATAAATATTTTTAGTACTAACTTTTTTTATCGTTGGCTCTATAGAATAGATTCTATATTCATAAATTCTTATCGGTCAAAGATGCAAAAACAAGTAGCGATTTCTCAAATTTTCCTTGAAAAAGCTAAGTCAAACCCAGAACAATGTTATCATTTGTTCCGCAAGCTATAATCCTTTCGAAACTACGAGGCCTCTGAAGGACTCAAATAAATGATATGCAAAGATAATATTGGACGTGCCTGGAAGGTAAATCGAAATATAAGAAAATGGTTGTGAAATGGGTTATCGCAACCTAACACAACAAACTCAACCAGTTATTCCTGCTTATCGGTCATAAAATGATGAATCATATGAAGTCAGCGTCTAGACCAGATATAAAGCGCTACCAGGCAGTGGTTTTTGGCACTCTGCAGTGGGCACACGGTAAAAATGGTTCCTATTCGGGTTTGCTTCCTGGCAGTAGCCATCGTCGCTCTCATCGGTGGTTCCCAAGGTGCAAATATACTGGGAATATTCCCGAGCCTCAGTCCATCGCATTTGATCATCCAAATGTCCGCGGCTAAAGTGCTGGCGGAGAGGGGACACAATGTGACGGTGGTCACGCTCCTAAGGCCAGTGGTAACGCACAAGAATATAACCGTAATCACAGTACCGGTCAGCAAAGATGCGGACCAGCTTATGAGTGACAACGTGAAAGAGATGGCGAAGAACGACAACAGCAATTTTGTTTCGGCCCTGTTTCGCATGTGGGAAAAGATGGATTTTATTTTTAAGGCGGTGGCAGAAGCTCTAAAGCACGACCGCGTGCGGGATCTCTATCGAAACAAGGCCAATAAGTTTGACCTGGTTCTCTCGGGCTTCTTCATGAGTGACTTCCATCTGGGATTTGCCAGGAAGGTGAATGCACCGGTCATCATCGTCGCCACAATATTACCGAATCAGATGTTGAACCCATTGATCGGCAATCCCAGTGAGGTCTCGTATGTCCCCCCCTTTAGTGACTCTATAGAGAAAGGAAAGAGCGTGTCCTTCCGTCAGCGATTGGTAAGCTTTACTACCAGTTTTTTCTTGGGACTATATATGCGCTTTTCTGATAGGCGTAGTCAGAATTTGTACGAGTAAGTAAACTTAGGGGGTTTAAGAAGCTTTTCACATTTACTTATCCCTAATTTACGTTCGCAGAGAGCTCTTTGCTGATGACCTCAACATGCCAGAGTATTCGGAAATGCTTAAAAACATTTCACTAGTGTTCTTTGCCTCTCACGCGCTCAGCGAGGGGCCGATCCGACCTAACGTCCCGGCAGCCATTGAGATTGGAGGTATTCATATTAAGGACAAGCCAGATCCCCTTCCGCAAAATCTGGCTGACTTCCTGGGCAACGCCACAGACGGAGCCATTCTCCTAAGCCTGGGCTCAAATATGAAGGGCAGCTACATCAGACCTGACACGGTGACCAAAATGTTCAACGTCCTCTCAAAGCTGAAGCAAAGGGTCATCTGGAAGTGGGAAGACCTGGAGAAGACACCGGGTCAATCTGACAACATTCTCTACTCCAAGTGGCTGCCGCAGGACGACATCCTCGCCCACCCGAAGATCAAACTGTTTATCAATCATGCCGGAAAGGGAGGCATTACAGAGGCCCAGTACCACGGCAAGCCGATGCTCTCCTTGCCCTTGTTTGGTGACCAGCCCGGAAATGCGGAGGGCATGGTCAAGAAGGGCTTTGGACTCACTCTAAGCCTCCTCACACTGGAGGAGCAGCCCTTCCAAGAGGCCATCCAGGAGATTTTGACGAATCCGCAGTACGCCCAGGAGGTGGCCACGTTCTCCTCGCTCTACCGCGATCGTCCCATGTCCTCAAGGGAGTTGGTCGTCTACTGGTCGGAGTACGTCATTCGGCACCATGGAGCTGCCCACCTGCAGAGTCCCCTGGTTCACATGAACTTCATAGCCGCCAATAACTTGGATATATATGCCCTGTTAGCTGGAATTTTAGTAATTGTCTTGCTATTTTTCAAAGCTCTGGTTAAATTTATTTACAGAAGGTTTTTGTCAAAGCCCAAGAAGGCCAGTAAGCAGAAGACCCACTGAAAGTTCTTTAAAAGTCAGGTAAATGTTAAAGTGTTACTATGAAATACTCTAAGATAAGAAAATAAAATGTTACCTATTATTTTAAATAAATATAAAATTGGGCTTGGCAACCCAGAAGGACAAAAATAGCTAATCTTATTTGTCTATAACTGAACCATACAAATAGTTTGCTTCGACATGCTGACTTTACTGAATGATAGATAAGCGTGGGAAATGTTTTGAGGACATTGTTTTTGTTTCTGGTTTGTCTCGGTATGTTTAATTGCGCAAGTAAATGCCTGATAAGCCTTATCAAAAAAGCAATTCTTTGGCTACGCTTGAAGGCGCTGTCATCGCTGATACAGCATTAAATTGTAAACGAATTCGTAGACTGATTCTGAAGTCAAACAGGTTGCACTCGTTGACTGGCTGATAACCTCAGCCAAAACTCGTTGATAAAGCTTATCGCTTTTTAAAAGCCGTTTATTGCGAGGCCAAATGAAACAGTTTACTTCCAGAAGCCAGAGCGATCAGATGGCAGTAAAAAAGATTGGGCTTTCCTTACTTTTTCTGGCCGTGGTGGCCGGTGCCCAGGGATCTAACATTCTCGGGCTGTTCGCCAGCTTAAGCCCGTCCCACTTGGTTATCCAGATGTCAATGGCCCGGATCCTGGCGGAGAGGGGCCACAACGTGACGGTGGTGACCGTCTTGAAGCCACCGCTAATGCACAAGAATATCACACACATCCTAGTGCCGCTCGATGAAGATGTGCTGCAGTCCTTCAACACCGTTATTGCCAGCTTAACCAAGAAAGACAATACCAAAACTTACTTAACCATGTTACGGTCGGCGCAGCAATTAAGTGAGGCGTTCTCCAAAATAGGCGCGGTAATGAAGCACCAGGTGGTCAAGGATCTCTATGAGCATCCGGACAACCGGTTCGATCTGGTCATCGTGGGATACTTTATGAACAGCTTTCAGCTGGCCCTGGCCCACAAACTGAAGGTGCCACTCGTGGTGGCCGTTTCCAATCCACCAACATTCATCGGGGACATAATTGGCAACCCTTGGGAGGTCTCCTACGTGCCGGCGATGCACCTTGCCCAGGAAGTTCCCATGAGCCTTGGAAAGCGTATACTCAATATCCTTGGAAACTGGGCCCAGAGATTGTTCACGGCCATAAATGAGTATGGAAACGCCAAGACATACAGGTAGTATAAAGTTAAATGTATTGAATGGCAGCTCTTATTTCCTATACCTTTTATAGGGAGATCTACGGAGATGATCCCACTCTGCCGGCCTATGGTGACCTGAACAAGAATATTTCCCTCATATTCTTCGCTTCTCATGGGATTAGCGAGGGACCTATCAGGCCCAACGTTCCGGCGGTGATCGAGGTGGGCGGCATTCAGGTCAAGGATCGTCCGGATCCTCTGCCTCAGAACATGGCTGACTTCCTGAGCGACGCTCCACACGGCGCTATTCTCTTCAGTCTCGGCTCAAACGTAAAGAAGGATCATATTCTACCTGAAACAGTGAGAAAAATGTTTAATGTTGTCTCGAAGCTGAGGCAAAGGGTCATCTGGAAGTGGGACGATCTTGAGAGCACTCCGGGAACTTCGGACAATATACTCTACTCCAAGTGGCTGCCTCAGACCGACATCCTGGCCCACCCAAGCATCAAGCTCTTCATCACCCATGCGGGCAAGGGCGGAGTGACCGAGGCCCAGTATCACGGCATTCCCATGCTGGCACTGCCCGTTTTTGGGGATCAGCCCGCCAATGCGGATGCCATGGTGGAGCAAGGATTCGGACTGACGCAGAGCCTGCTTACCCTTGAGGAGCAGTCCTTCCACGATGCCATTCTAGAGGTCCTCGAGAATCCGAAATATGCAAACGCGGCGAGGGCCTTCTCGGCCCTCTACCGGGACCGGCCATTGAGCGCCCGTGAAACCCTGATATATTGGGTGGAGTACGTGATCCGTCATCATGGAGCCGCACACCTGCAGAGTCCGGTGGTGCACATGAGCTACATAGCCGCCAATAACTTGGATATCTATGCCATAATAGTTTTGGCAATTGTATTTATTTTCTATACTTTAAAACTAGTTTTTAGGCTTTTGATTAGAAAGATTTGCTCGAAAAAGTCTAAAAGTAAGACGAAATCTAAGAAGCATTGAATAATAAATAATATAAAGAAATAAAATTTGCTAACTTCCTTCGATTTTGGCAGCAAAAAATTCAATCTTATTGTTCTTTCAGCGAGCCTGTGCCATTTTGTGTTTATATATCTTTATTCACTTCAGGCCCTTGGGCTGAGCAAACTTTCCTGTCCACATAGTTGCCAACTTTATTACAAAAATTCGCAGCATACATCTGAGCACCGCCGTCTCATTGTAGTCTGGGTTTTCACTCCAATGCCAATTTGCAATGCACTGGAAATTCTTCAAAGTTGGCTCTGCCCGGGTGGCGCTGGATCTGAACAACATTTTGCAATAAGCAAATTTCAATTGAAATAGCAAACGTAAAAGGCATGCGGCGAACTACCAGCTCCACTTCACTGCAGAGCCCCACATAACGTGGTCGACGGGCGCCGAACACAGAACACTGAACACCGAACAACAAAAAAGTATTTGAGAAATCTCGGCATTGTTTTGTGTTTTCCCGCTAGCGACGGGGAGCAGCGGAGGTGTATATGGAAATGCCAATTGAGAAATCGGCGGAGATGAGGCAAGCGGGAGCCAAGAGTTAGCAGCGAAAGAATTCGCTCAAAGTCGCGAGTGGTCTTAACTAATTAATATTGTTTCGTAGATTCTCGCCGAGGGAACATTTGGGGAATTTCACTGAAACAGGAGAGAATTGTTTGATAATCTAAAAGCATTTAGTTAAAGCTGGGAAGTTGCATTTGTCAGAGCTTTGATAGTCGCTATATGAAGTTGTACCTTTATCTTTAAAGAATGGAATCACAACTGTAATATCCTGAAAGGGTATCAAAATTAAGAGAAGAAATTCCTTTTCACAGACAATTTTAAATTAATAAAAGATTATTTTGTTTGAAGTATTTTTGTTGGCTTCATCAGAAGGAGAATGGTTTGAAGGGTATCCCATTCAATTTTGAATTTTTAAAAGGTCTACATATAATACAAAAGCCTGGCAGCTACCTAAAGGCTCTTGGTCTATCCCCCGTTAGAATTCTTTATTCCCGCAGCCTTAATTTACTTTGTCAAATATTTATCCATTTAATTGCATAATGTACCACTTCAGTGGCACCTCAGGCATAAACAATCCGTGCATTCAATCTAATTTCAGACCCGAAACCAGTTCTAACCCCCGGCTTGGACAGAAGGTTCTCACTGCTGTTGGCAGTTTGTTTAATTAAATTTGGAATAACAAAGGAGGAGAAAAACGTATCTGCCGATCTGCGCGATCCTCTGTAAACAGTTTCCCGGAATACCTTTTCAAGTGGCTGACATAAAAAACATACAAAAAGCTGTGAAACTGCGTCTCGGCAGGCAGGGGAACGGAACTCGCCGCGTCACGGGCATTGTCCAATGAAATCATTTGACGCAGCAGTCAGGACATAATTCATAAGGCCGCAGGGGACGTATTGGGATTCCTGTTTCCCGATCGAGGCCGCAACCTACCCCGTAACGCGGAGTGGAGTGCCGTGAAACCGATATGTCTCAATCAGGAGCTCCGTGCAATTTGCACCCCGCACGTGGCCAAGTGCAATTGCAATTACTTCCAGAGTTCGAAACTTAACGATGGGAACACGCAAATTGCTCGGCCTACAAACCCTGGGCCAAAATTTGATTTCAATGATGCTCATCAGAGCGTTTGCCCGCGTGGGAAAGTGGTCTCCTGCGGTTTGCTCCTGCTCCTTTCGCTGATCTTCCGGCGGAGTTTGCAAAAGGCGTGGCCGGAATATCAGTTTTTCGGCGGCTTTACGCTTTAAATTGCTTTCGAACGGCGCGGCATTGTGGTAAATTATGGAGACAAACGCAAAGCGCGTTTGTGGGCAGGACTTTTCAATTTTGCATTGCTTTGTTTCCAGTAACCACTTCGCATTGCATTTCATTTGTTTTTCCATCAGCGGGGAGTTATTTCGATGCGTAAATTGAAATGCTACGAAAACGTATAAACATTCCAATCAATTTGTTGGCAAATGAATTATGCATTGAAAATTGCATCGCTCGGTTTTGCGGCCTGCATGCGGGCGTTGGCAAAGGGTTGCGAACTATTGACGAAATCGACAAATATGTTTAAAGTTAAAGCTCAAATATGCAGGATCGATATGCTAAATTAGTGCATTAGAGAACGAGAGAGATTAGTTTGAATTCTAATTGAAAGCAGTTTCATGCCAGGCATTCTAAAGGGACGAGAAATATATTGATGTTATGCTCTGTTAATTATGAGAATAAATTTTCTAAGAAGTATACATTTTAGGTTATATACTTAAGTGTCAAATTAAAATACATTTTCATACCCACAATGGTTTCCATAGGATTAAATTTTAAAACTAAGCAACAAAACGGACTCTAACCACATACAATTTCCTGCAATTAAATTTGTACATCATAAAATGGTAAAATAATAAATAATAATTGGGGGAAAAACTAGCTTATTGATTTATATAACTTATGTATTTATATAAAAAGAACTCCTTTCGTTTTACTTAACCTGCTATGAGTCAAAACCATTAACCACATACAGTTTTTATGTGAAAAAAATACACTATTTGTAGAGGGTAGGGCTAATATTTATTTTGACTGGCACTTTTAGCAACCTCACTTCACTAAGCCTTGTTGTGACAAGATTTCCCGGACATTTTGCATAATTAAATACTACACATTTTACAGTATTTTTCCAACACTTGCGCCTATGTTTTTACAAAACAGCAGCACTCCGACCTGCGCCGCCCAAACAATCGTAAAAACACGGGGCGAAACCCTGCCAATCTGCACTCCCCTCGGTGGTCAAATAAAATCAATAATCCTTAAAAATACAATATTTTACGCATAAATACCTTTTTTAATACGCTGCACGCGACTGAAAACGGCGGAAAATACGTTTTCTCGATCAAAAAACAAGCATAAAAACGGGCCGGGGATTTGCTGAATGCGTTTTTTGTCGCCTGGCCAACGGCGACAACCAATTTGTAATCAAAGTAATTTTAATGCAAATTTTATATGTTACTGCACGTAGTTACAGTGCACCCGCCCAGAGGCGCAGCAAGCGCCCTGCCGGCCACCAACTGAGCCCGGCCAATAACATAAAAGCCGTATATAAGTACAAAAGTGACCGGCACTGGAAAAGTCTGAAAAGGGTCGCGAAAAACTGGCGCTTAACTGTGGCCGAGGACCCCGCAGTCAGGCATCCAGCCTCTCCGATTCCCGCTCCCAGTTCCCCATTTGCACTTCTGCTGCACGGCTTGTTTATTCAAATGATTTTATGACTTTTCCGAAAAACCAAATGGTGACAACTTGTGGCCCTAAAAGTTGAACATTTTGTGGCCAAATAAAGTGAAAATTTTAAATAAAAAATAGATCGTAAGGTTAAAAGCTAAAAAGATTAAAACAGACGTGGAAACTGTGTAAACTAAGAAACGGGAGTACTCTGAATAATCATTTAACCAATGTATGAATTTTAGTTTATTGTAGAGTACTATAGCCTTATAATATAACTGGTTTATTTCATGAAACCCTAACTTATATGAGAAAAATTCTGAGTTTAGCTTATAAAAGTAGGCCAACTCCTACAATCCAAGGAGATACGACAAAGATCATGCAACGCCAATCTTGTTTCTCTGTCCAAATTATCTAACTTGACCCGGCAACAGATGCACCTGTAGTCCCACCCCATCGCTTCATTGCTGGGAACTACGTAGATAAAAAAGAAACACGACTTGGGCCGTAATCGTCCGAGAGACAAATTTTCAGTTCCTTGGGTCGCATAAATTTAACCATTGAGAAAAAGGTTCACATTAGGCATCATTAGGCGGGAGAGAATTGCGGTCGAGGTGCGGTTGCGACTGCTACCGAACGGAAAGGCCGAGTGCCACAATGTGTGGCAGCCACAGCGGTGGCTATCAGCGGCCAGGGCCCGCACACAGTCTTGGGCACATGTGCTCGACTGAGTGGCTAAGACAAAACGGACACCCCGGCCGAAAGGACTTGATCCCCGTTTCAGGTAGCTGGTCGTGGCTTCTTTCTTTTCCTGGGAAATTGCCCGAAAATAATTATGTAATTGACTTCCAGCAGAGGCGGCGGCGAGAGGAAGATGGCTCTGAAGGTCGCCTCAGGGCGCCATCATCAGACAGTCCTATATTGTCGGGCTGTCATTTTTCAAAGGCATTGTCCTTTTTATGTGTTTGGTACCTTCTTTTTTTATTACTTTTCTGACTTTGTTCTTTCGACCTGGCTGGCGTCAATTGTCAGTTTCCGCTGTCATTTGTTATTTTCTGCGGCCACGCAGCTTGCTCCCCGGGCTCCGCTCGGCATATGTCGCAGATTATGACATTTTGGCGGCCTTTCTACCACATTTTTTTCACTTTCCCAGCCTCCAAGGCCAGTGGCAGGAGCTATAAATTTGATGTGAATGCATTAGCAATTATTTAATGGTTCATTGCCTTGGACTTTCAGATGAAAGTGACATGTGGCTGGCCTGGAGACGCTCAAGGAATGTCAAATTTCCAAGAATAGAGTGTTATTTGTCATTCAGAAGTTTTTGTATTAACCGGACTGAAGGACACTTCTTTAGGCTGGCTTTTATATTGAAAACGGTTGTGGTTGTTGAATAAAAAACCAAACAAATCAAGTAAATGCTCATTTTGGAATGTATTAATCGGCATTTACAAATAACTAAGATCTAATATTATATTCAATATAAATTTCAATTGAAGTGTTAGACAAACTTCAATTTCGTATTCATTTGAATAGTTTAGCGATATTTAATACCTTCCCGGTAAACCGATACTTCCCGAGGCCATCGGCGACAAACAAATTTAAATCGATTTAAAATCCATTTCGGTTGCATTCGCTCAACAAATTTGACATTTGTGTTCTGTGCTGGAATAAGGGGGACCAAAATGTCACAAGATGACACCGGCAGTTCAACCCCATCCAGGGCCTGATTGCTTGTTGGTGTCGCCATTTAAATTGTTATTGAATTATGCACTAAGCTGTCAACTGACATGGGTGCAACTGCGGCTCAGC